ACTTTCTTCTACTTTGATGAACCTTCCCTCTGTGAAGCCTGAAGTCAGCTAAATGGCTGATGATAGCTATCAAAACACCTGCCATTTGAAATAAATAAATAAATGTTGTCTCTCATCAACAACCAAAAAGTTGTATATTTAGCCTTTTAGTGAAATTGTAACAGAGTAAAAAGAACGAAAGCCCCCAATATAAATATGAATGTTATACTGAGTATATTATTAAATAAGCCTGCTTATGGGGCGAATATTGTAAGGTGTTTGGTTAGTTACTTAATTAGCAAGTATTTTTAAGACAAAAAACTTCATTTCCAGGCAGTAGTATGAATGGCCAAGGAGAGGCGTTTTTGGCATGGAGTCGGCTTCTATTCACGAAAAATCGGAGTTCTAGTGGAAATATCGAAAGTCTTCGATCTCGAACTCTAGATTCTTAGATGCGACATCAAATTTTATCACTTCAGGGCGCTTATTAATTAGTAGGGAAATTTTTTGGAACTGCATTGAAGCTATAATAGTTTGCAATTCTTGGAAGCCTAGATATCGCCGGGCTCTACTTAATTCAGTTCTAGGAAAGAGAAGGGTGGTCGAAATATGTGGTCACTCTAGGGCAATATCGTAAGTAAACAAAGTTTAGGCTCAAATAAATGTTTTTTGATATATTTTTGATATTTTTTGATCGAAACACCATCAGATTGATAACAGTTAATGACCTAAGTTACTGCCAAGTTGTCAATTACGGATCGCAGATCGTTATTTTAGAGGGTCTGTCTAGATACCCTGTGGAAAATACTTGTATTGACTGAAACAAAACCTTTATAGCTTTGAATTTTATACTTTCGACTTCCATAAGTTTCTGTTGGGATCTAATGTACACATGAATGCCCAAATTTAAATTCCCTCCCATTTTGTCTAAAATGAAAATTTTAAACAGCGTTAAGTTTCAGATATTCCGGCTTTAACACTCTTATATTTCCAGTTCGCCAATATAAATGGCCACTGAGAAGAATGAAATTCAACCCGTAGATATCAATTTTCAATCCTGAGTTTTCTGGCAATATATGCAGTACTTTGGAAACGCATTTCTTTCTCTGGCACTGAGCACCGTAAAGTATTAGGTTACAAACCGAGAGGCAGAGTCCGATTGACTGAACATTCGCACTTAGGCAAGTTCTGTCTCCCAAAAATGAATTCTTTTAGTCATTTCTTAATTCCATAGTGCATTTTATCTCCCTCGTTCTTACATACAAAGGCTCTATTCCCTAATGCGGGCAGTGCTTTTTGAGTGTCCAAAAACAGCTTTACAATTGCTGTTTATTGTCGCAATGGTAACAATAGCGGATGTTGCTAACAAAATTAGTGGTTTTGAATCACTTGAGAACATCCTCGGTAGAGTAGACGGCTTCTTGGACACTCTTATTTACAAAATTTTAAAAATGAAGCAAATATTAATTATCATGCCTTATGTAGCGCATTCCACCTCCCCCTATTTACATTGTTTTGGCTGTGTAATGTGAAAACACGCCCTCCCCCACCTCTCCCAATTCGTATATATTTAAACTTTCCTTGTTTTTTTTTTTCAAAAAAGCACGCCTTCTGCTATTCTAAACATTAAATATGAACCCCTTGCCTGTAACTGGTTAGTTTGACGAAAAGCGTTGGCCAATCGATTTTTATCCAATCTTTCTACTATTAAGGTGGAGTTTATCGTAATGAATTCGAAATGGAAAGGAAAGACCGATATTTGAATTCTCAATACGTATTAGTTAACAGTGTGATTGATGTCAGTTACATTTAACTTATTCGTAAATTAATCAACATCAATCGATTTCTGCAAAATCAACTTCTCATTCATGGATGGCGTTGCAATGTGAAATTATTTTAGTAATTCGAAGCTGATCTCTCTTTGACTCGACATCGCGTTGGCTTTCCAGTTGAATAATGCGCAATCCACAATCAGCCGCCATGTCCGTTAGCATTCATTGTATGTGGGTACATTTTGACAGGTAGCCTAATTGCAATAGGTGAATGAAATATATGACTTGACCTTCAACAATCTATCAAGTGAAAGCACACTAACAGAATACCACTAAAACATCTTGAAGATGCATCATTTTCGCTCTGCTCTCAAGAGAGTTCGAGCGAAGACGATGAAGTACGAAGCTGAGATTTGTATGCGAGTATTCTGCATTACTGATAGAGTCATTTCAGCATAGTAGCAAAATTAATAATGACTCGGTGCTCAATTCCCGTTTATGTATCATAAAAGACATGGAGGGTTGAAAAGCCAAATGTCAGAATTTTATCCTTAATATTTATAGCGTTTTAGATGCGAGACTCTTAAACAAAGCTTCAGCATGTATTCATAAGTCTGAGAAGTGCGACTTATGCTTTCCCAAACCCTCTCTCCCTTTTCCCCAATTATTTCCTCTGCACTGAAGCCATTTACTCTCTCTCTCTCCCTCTCTTCCCACTATTAATTAGAGGTTGCATTATGTTTCTTTGGCTACGTGTTGATGTTTACTAAATTAGTAAGTTTCAATTTATTGTTTTACCCCAATATCCTCAATAAAGTTTGGACATAGGTCAAAATATCTCGCAGCTCAATTAGTGGCGGGTTTAGGTATTTCCGACCATTAGAATGAACAATTAGTTGGTTTATCTCATAAATACTATCGACCTGCCAAATTTCAATTCTGTCTCACTCATCTTGTTGGCGTAGGTTTCACGAATAATTGTGTTCTCACCTCAGAGGAGTCTACATTTCCCCTTCTGCTTTAGATTCAACTCTATGCCATCTGATTGCTAATTCGCGTATAACTTATGCCTCGGATTACTATGAACATCTGAATACATAGTGAGGAAAGCAAATAAAGTGACAAAGCACAGTATTTTTCTTCCAAATTTGCTTTCTATAGTAGTTTCAGGCTCTCGGTGTAGGGGATAAATGTTAGCCTGTATATGCTGATCTTCTATATGAATTTTAGGCAATGTCGGAGTATTGTATTCACTTTTCTTTTATTGCCCACTCTGTTTCTATGGGGAATAATTTGGTGCATAATGATGTTGGATTAATATTCACACATGTGACTGCGTTGACTCTTGGTTTGACATGTGAAAAGTGTTTTGTTTTTCTTGCCCGGAGTGGATGAGTGGAATTACCGCCTCCTGCCACCATCGTCCCCATTTTCAATTTCTTATTCACGCACACTCTTGACTTCGTTTAAGAGTTGTTTTATTCCATCTCTGTCGTATTCTCTGACTGCTTTACGATCCTGGCATCGAATTTGTTGTTTCAAAAGACCCCAGCCACATTGCTATTTTCCATCTTGTTAACGCAATAATGTATTGCGACAGTCCCGCAAAGGTACCACGATTTTGCAATGCATGGACCGGCTGATGTCTTTCCACACAATGAAGGCCTTAATCAGGAGAGACTTCAAGACCTCAAGGTGCAACGAACTTTAAGCTCGAACAAAGGAGAAACAGTGGACAGTGGCCAAGAATCGAAGCCGTTGCTGAGTTTAGACTACGTACTGGACACGATTGCCTGGCGAAACACCTTCACAGATTGGGAGTATATACTCAACCAACATGCTCTCTATGTAACCTAAGTATACACTCAACCCACATGCCCTCTATGTAACCTACATTTATGGAGAAGACCCACCTGATTCGGTGTCCAGCCCTAAAGAAAACGACGGAAAACCATAGATAGTGAGATGGAAGAAGACGGCTCCATGGGGGAAGCTGAAGTCAAAGTTTAAGGGCTAATGATGAATATCATAAAGCCTGCCATTTGAAATAATAATATTGCGACAGTTACAACAGAGGGGATACAGTAACAAATGTCGGAGTTCAATACGCCACCATGTTCAAAACTAGGGTATTTCAAAATCACCTATTCCCACCTACGAAAAATCGATATACGCTTTAATCGTCTATTAGTGGGAAATGCAATGAAATTAAATGTCTTTGCGATGGATGATTTTCTTCTGGTAACTTAATTACTCCATGCGCATTGCTTTCTGTAAAAATAGTCCCTTAAGTCACGCTCATCTGTCGGCCTTAGTTTGGAAATTTCTTTTTCTATTTCGTATAAGATCCTCTCTAATAATTGTGATAAAGATAGTGGAAGATAGAAATTGATCTGCGGTGGAGATGAATGCTACAATGTTCGAAATCGCAATACCATATTCTGCTTTTTCCAATATTTTGAGTTTCAAATCCGTAATATTTGACGAGGCCGAAGATATTGGAATTAGATGTTATATCAAGCGTAATCTGATTATAGGCGTAGATTGTACACTCTTATGGTGGCTACTTAATGAATTGAATTCTTATGCGAATAAATTAAATATTACGGAGAAATAGACAAATAATTTCAAGAACACCTAATTGCTAATTTGTACTCAATCCAAAAAAAGAAATAAATTTCGCAAATATTTTTTATTTATTCATTCTATTTGCAAATTTGTTTTGGGGTTTTCTAAATTGTAAAACTTTGAAGTAAAATCCGCCTTTAAGGCATTTGCGTGTTATATGTGATTCACGTTTTGAGATTTGGGGCTATTTGGGATGGTTCAGGGGCTATAACAATTACCACGGACAGATAAAATTTGAAATAGGCACGCGACTAGTTTAAGTCGATAATCATCGCGAATTCGCGAAAAATATCAACTAAATATAGACTATTACAAATAGCCTAACCAGTATCGGTATACAGAGTCATACACTTTAAGCTCAATTTCACTTCCAGTTTTTGAGTAAAGCACACAAATTTTTGGACGTCGAATCTACTGCCAATAGCATTTCCATAGCTCTAAGATTGTTGAAAGTTTGCTCCAATCCTTCAAAATAATCTTCTCATTTATGTTCCCTTCAAAAACTTGGAATGGCAATGAAAGTGGAGTATATTTAGATCGAAATAACCATGGTGATATTACTTTCTTTAAAAGATCACCAAAATGTTAAAGTTGAATATTTTTATTCATTTTCTTTCAGCAATGGATCTTGCACAAAAATCAAGTGGCTACAAACCAATTCTCACTCAAGGCGATCAGCTGAATCGCATTAAGGTAATCCGAAAGAGAAATAAATCGTCCAAGGGTGGAGTTGCCAATGAGCCAAATGCCAATTCCATCTCTCCCAATTTCGCCAACTCATATCCAAAACTCAGTAGCGGTAATGGCAGGGGAAGTGCACTCGATTTTCGAGACATTTACAACATTCACGATTCGCCAACTGAAGATGATTTTTCTGTAACAGAATCCTCTGAAACGGAGACTTATAACCGCTTTTGCTACGAGACGGAAAATCCATCGCCAATGATTTATCGAGTTTCACCTAGTCCTAAAGGGGATCCTGATTCACCAATTAACGGAAAAGATAGAAATGGACAAGAATTGAATAATGGAGATTCAATCGAGAGCTCACTCAGGTTAGTAACTACTCTGCTTATCCGATTTTCCCGCCTCTGTGAGGCATTTTGCTGACTTTAACGCCGGGCTAAATTCTATGTTCTTCCATCCCACTATTTTCCGTTTTGTTTCTTCCATCTCTGTGTATCAGGAAATCTTCTTCCACATTTGGTGGTCTATTAAAGTATCTGGGAATCAATTTCAGTCCTCCTTACTTTAGTAATGATTTAAATTGTTGCCTAACTTTTAAGCGGATCAATGAATCAGGAGGTGTTATTGATTTTTTTTGTAAATACTAATTGAAGTTGTTTAATTGATAATTGGCAAGTAGGTAATAAAATTACAAGTTTGGGAACTTTATGAAGCAGCAGAACATTCAACTAATTCCCATATTAAATGCGATTGCACAATTTGATAGCTTTTATTCTGCGATATAACAATCGCGGATAATACTTTCCTAGGGAAAATGATTAATGATTAATGCAATTTTTTTCGCTCCCAAGTTGATATTACGTATTTGCACCTCGACACCTTATTCTTTAGGCCACGTTGTCTTTTTCTTTGAACCTTCTTCACTCCCTCACGTTTGAAATGCGTTGCTTGGAACAGAATTTCATCTCGCTTATTTGAGAGGAGCGCGTTTGGATGGTTTATTTAGTTCTCGCTACATGTCGAAATTGGGCTTGAATTTAACGCGGTCTTTTTAAGTTACCAGTTTCTGGGCTTGATCTTTCGATAAAGTAGTTCAAAACTTTGTTGAATGCCTTGATTTTGAAGGAGATCTCTGAAAATTTTTTGTTTCTATTTTTTTTTCACTTTCGTGCTCAATTTTGTTTCTGTAAAAATGGTGTCTGAGTTGACTGAAACCAAAATTTAACTTTGATTTTCAATGTTTACTTACCACATAGTCGACAAATGTTGCAATTGTGATACTTTCAGATGAGAGAAATGGAAAAAGGTTATTATGAAGAGAAAATTCAGATTGATGCATTTGAAGATTGCTACTCCACGAAATATTTATTTTCTCAAATTGACCACTATTCTTCTTCTCAGGTGTTTAGTGTAAATTTGATTGATTGTCATATATGCTAAGTGAAACGTTTTGCTGGAACATTTTAGAGGGGGACTGGAATCTAAATCTCTTCATTAATATTTATTAGGACTTAATGTATAAAATACAATGGGTTAATGTCACACTGTCAGTCAACTCTAGTCATCAATATCTCCATTGAGTTTTCGGGGGTCGTTAACACAAGTATATTTAATGGGAAGGTGTCACGAAGTGTAGCCTATTTCGAATCTTCGATTTACCATTGATATATGCCATGCCCATCACTGTTCTAACTTTTTTGCCACAAATAACAGAGCTTAGTTGGTATTTAGTACTTAAGAATGAACTGCTTGCTTAATCTAATATTTAAAACGTAATTGGCAATAAAATGGCCTTGGATATATTTTTCATGCTTAAATGTTGAAGTTATTCTTTTTTACTTTCGAAAGATATTTTGGTATCGTTTGTTTATTTATTAATTTATGTCAAATGCCAGACTTTATAATGGTTATAATTAGCTCTTTATTTGACTTCGGGCTTCACAGAGGAGAAGGGACATCAAAGTGACAAAATTGAGAAAGGGAATAGAAGAGTGATTTACAAGCGCAAAAGGGAGATAGACATAGTGGTATAGAAAAAGGTAGGATGAGTACAGTGAAATGGTCGAGTATGTCATACAGTGGGGTCATGGTAGCTTGAAGACAGAAGTCAACTGCCAGTTAATAATCTTTTTTTGCCGTGTGAGTATACGTTGACAAGATAGCACCACGTAAAGATTAGTCCACCGCGCTCCCCATCTTGATTAAATCCATGAGTTCTACGTGGAATATAATCTAATGCAAATTTTCGAGCAGACTGTTTTGATTTTAAGACTGTTAGTGGAATGAAAATTTAGGTAGAAAAATTATCAGGTATGAAAATTTTCAGCAAATTGGCATTTTTTTCTAATTGTGCTCGTGCTGAATTAGAAAATGTTATCAAATTTATCAAGATTTGGATGACTTGATGCTTTTATTCCCTTCATCAATTTCGGAGAAATAGCTTAATTTAATATCAAAATTTAATTCGATTTGCTCAGTAGGCACAATGAAGTCATCAACCTCCCATGAAACATCCGAATAATTGAATTTTCAGTAGCTGCGGATCTGATGTTGCTTTGCTGCGTTTGTGGGCATCAGCTCAGGAAATATGTGTGCTCCGCCACACAAATGGCAATTAGATGGATTATATGAATGCGATTCCGCAATGTGAATTTATTTCCATCGAAAACACTTGGAATGTGTTGAACGGGGAACAGAAAACTGTCAATTTCCAACTGACTTAAGCTGCAATTTGGCGTCTATTGACTAAAATAGCCTGTTTGTCTTGACAATTGAAAGCAATCAAACACGTTAGAGCTTAATGTTAGGTTAATAAGGTGAAAATAGGAATAATGATCAATTTCCATAGTTAAAGTTTTGTATTTCTTCACAATCAACATATTATTTTGGGTTTATTTGCTTGTCAAAGGGGCCGTAGTGATGGGGCTTCTCTCATTTTCATGGTTCCATAGTTTTCAACTTACTGTAAATTTAAATTAATTATTGTTTGTTAACTCGAATTCATATGATTTGTTTGTCTTTTTCAAATTTAAGCATTTATTTTGAACACCTATTTTCGCTGTGATTTTCCTGTTAGTTCATAATCTCAACAAAATTAATTCCTCTCCTAACTTTCCAATTTTCACGCTTGTGGTGTTCGCGGTCACTTTTTTGAAACAAATATCAAGGCACCCCTCCTATTGGTTATCGAAATGTGCAGCGGATTATAGTCCTACGCGCATTGAATTATGACAGTTCTTTGACATACCCTAATTTTACCCTCTTAGATAATGAAACTTGATGTTTCCCAAAGATCTACTGGAGTTTAAGGCCATTTATTCCCGATGATAATTGCTTTTTTAACTGGATTTTTAGTGTTGAAAGTTTGTAGGGAACTCAAATTCTCGCCTTTAAGTTGCAAAGTTTGAATCTTGACGATTATAAAATAAGCATTTATAGATGATACATTTTGCTTTAATGCTTTTGCAGTTATCAAAACTTGGGACCTATTGAATAGGTGATCTACATTTTTTGGGGAAAAAAGAACGATTCCTTATGTTTGGAATACCAAGAAAATTTCAATCTTCCAATGCTTCATTTATGAGTGTAATAAGAAGGTAGATTTTTACCATTTATTACTTGAAAGTGAAGATTAATTATTGGTCCACGCAAAATTGACGCACCCAGTCGTTATATTCGAGAGACTTTTTAATTAGAAACAAGCATTTACAGCCCATAAAAGAAGTTTATGGAAATGCAACATTATTGCTATTTCATCACTGTTGAAAATATTAATTTTTTGTGACCGACAATTATTCAATTGTGGTGACAAGGCTTGTTATTTCATAGGTTTCCACTGTAAGAAGGCGAGACAATTAAGAATATGGGGTTTTGAAGTTAATCGAATAGATAATGAATGGAGCCTATCCCTCCAAAACTTATCCTTTCAAGGTTTGTCAGATTGTCGAATTTTATGCCTAAATAGGGAAGATTTTTTGCTGGAAGGAAAGATAATGACTCTTGGGCTTCTACATGATTTAATGTCAACTATGATGTGTTCAGTGGTTGATGACTTTCACAAATGCATCACATAGGCTAATTCTTTCCGAAGGAATTTCTTACTTTAATTTAATATACTGAACTGTATTATTTAAGTTCATATTATATTCACAGACAATTTTATTGTTTTAATTAAGATATTTAATATAGAGCCTATCCGGAGGTAAATTTTGAAGTCTAAAATAGACAGCACTGGTGTGCAGCTTATAATATTGGCTTTATTGCAGTCTTCATTGAATAGGAACTTAAGCTGATAGTCATCTTAAAATCAGCTTATGTCTGAATAATCTCTTAAGCAAAATATCGATTATGTAAATGACCAAGCTATCCTTGATATCAATACTATATTAAGAAATTTTCATTTGTGGTCAATGGGCGCTATACCTCTTAAACTTTTAAATCACGGATATAACTGTTAGGGGTTGCCACTTGTCCTGAGTTCAAATTTTTCCTTAATTAGGTGCGGTTGTATCTTGAAACTTGATAATGAGATTCTTTTAAGTGCACTTACCTTCACCACTAGCAATTAGCACAAATAATGTTACTGCATTTAATAAAAAAACAAATAGCAAAAACCAAAGTCAGTAGTTTCAAGAGGAAAGTTAAATGTTCGTGAAAGAAATCTACGACACGCAGATTAATTTCTCATGAATTGAATAGTAGTGTCTTCCGTTGTCTGACAAGCTAGTTTTCTTGCTAATTTCTACGATTGTAGGCCTTTCACACCAAGGAAAATGCAAAAATGTTGTGATTTTTTTACAGTGATGTGAAACCAGATTGAACTTTTTCCCTTGTATCCATGGATTGTACCTATCTCTCTTGCGCCTTTTGCAAAAATTGTGGCCGAAGATGGAGATGAGGAATTCATTAGCCTCATTAATACACACCAAGAAATAGCTTTCTACGGTAATTGAGGATGAATATACGATAGTACTTTCAAATCATGTGATGCTAAAACTACTCATTTTCAATAGTGCTTGCACTCTCATCGGCTTTGATAGGTCAGCTGAAATAAGTAGAACTAAATAGTGCATTAGTAAATAAATCAGGTGACGGGCTAGTGGGGGTTTGCCTATAGTCTAAAATTACTACTGCACTCTGGTCGTTCTGCATAACGGACTACTTTTTGCCTAAATGGGATAATGAAGTCAGTCTGATATGTGCGTCGACTACTTTATTTGATTATTCCAAGTAACTGTCCACGTAGGACATCATCATGAAGATGCTTCATTCAATGAATGATCTGCATCACGACCACGTGGGATAAAGTTGACGGTTTAAAGTTAAAACATTAGTGTTCAATGATCTTTGCAGATTTTTCGGGTGTCGGATAGCTGTTTAACTGATTGCCAGCCAAGTGTTTCTTATCTCCTTCGAGTGGGTTCTAACTGTCAGATATATACAACTGAGACAGCTGTCAAAAAAACAAGAAACCTGGTCATCTGGACCCTCTTCGTGGTCAAAATCAGACACTTAGAAGTAGGGCCAACTTCTAAAATCATATTTGAGCTCTCGTAAAGATTAAATTTCATAAATGCATTCTTCGTAGTAGTAAAAACAATAATAATGAATTCATTAGAATTTATATTTCTTCGAAATAAGACGGAAAAATTTTGAATGGTATGTTTAATTTGGACCAACGCCTCTTATCTGTTCATGCTAATAACATTTTTAATTAGATTTGTGGAATAGGTATAAAATAGTCGAAAAAAGTTGATATTTGTTGTAGTAACCTCTGATATAACCCCACTGATGACCTTTGAACCTGCATTTTCCAAATTGCTTTCTCTTATTTAGTACATCTGCTACCTTAACCGGTCGTGACAGCTTGAGCAGTAGTTATCCGCGAACACTGACGCCCATCAACTTGCCTCGAATAGGTCTAGGTTCTCGAGTACCCTCTGACAACAATATCAGGGCCCCAAGAGCTCGAGCAATGAACGCAAGAGGCTATGATGATTCACGCAAAATGGATATTATCAATGGAAGTGGTAATTCAGCGGTCGCAAATCTATCGCGACCTAATATGAATCCAGCCATTATTCCTGTACATTCAAATCGTCCAACTCAGCAGAATAACTGGATGCAGTCAGCGACTAGGTAAATGCGCTACGTAGTTTTGTTGCTATTGGCAGTATTCCAATTGTGAATTGCAATGCTGTTAGCCTGCATTTTGAAGTAATTTTCTCTTCGAAATGCAGTTAGCTATAGTCATATGGCCAGTTATTTTATGAAAAGAGTGGATTATAAGCCTTTTTTTACTTGTTTACTATGTATTTTCATTATGAATGACTCCAGGTAAAGTGATTTTTGCATTTGTTAAAACTCACCTTTTGGCGCTAATTTAAATGTTCGTGGAGACTACAAACCTTGGACTAAAATAATAATTGATTTTCGTAGTCGTTAATAGTTGCCTGTAAAAAAGCTGGCATTCCTCAAAAAGGTAAAAAATAAATAGGTGCCTGATATTCTACTCTAGAGAATTTAAGCAATATTGTCGTTAATAGTTAATACTTCGATGTTCCTTCCTCTCTGTGAAGCCTGAAGTTAACTAAAGGGGTAACGATAACTGTCAAAACGCCTACCATTCGGAATAAATAAGTAAATACTTTTTAAGTGAAGGCATTATAACTTTCTTCTAATGTTACTCATTTTGTTTGTGACTGTCTCCCAAATTTTTGAGTTCATTGTATTTTGTCCTAAAGCGCCCTCTCATTGTTTAAATATAATAAATTTGTGGAGATTGTTCCTGTTTGTTTGAGCAGAATAAACCAATTCAACATCTCTCGCGACTTGTATCTATGAGTACATTTGGATTGACACTTTGCTGTCCTAATATGGCGATTTTAACCATTCCAGGATTCGCAATAAGTACCTCAATTCTAGGGGGGTTCAAGGTAGCTGATGAATGCTTTATTTATTTGCCAGTAGTATTCAAATGAAGTAGAAATTTTATTTTAAAAATATCTTCCTTAATACAATCTCAGTTGTACTTTTAAAGTTTCTCTAAAGCTTAATCCCAATGAAAGTAGGCGGTATGCCGAATTGGGAAGTATTCGGTTCGGTGTTCGATTCTTCTTTAAGTTTACAACAGTGCAATGCTGTTAATTTGGCCAAGTAATGATAAAACGCGGATCTCTCAGGCACAAATTAACTCTGTCTGCAAAATTTAGGGATCAAGTGAAGCAAAGCTTGCTGTCTTGGTTCAAAATATGGGGAATTCGCCGAAAAATTTTAATTGTGACCTTGAAATACGCAAAGAAGATGACAACATTAATATATTTGAGGTGTGGGCAGTGTGCGATAGACTTACATCCACGTGGTGCACCCTGGGCAACGTATACTCATACAATATATGTTATATTCGACTAATTTCACAGTACTCACCTAACATTTTACTCGACCTTTGTGTTTGTCTCTTTTACATCTTTGAAACCCTCTTCTGTCTCTCCCCCTTCTTGACATTTTTCACTTTGATGTTCCTCTCCCTCTGTAAAGCCTAAAGTCAACTAAAGGGCTAATGATAACTCTCAAAACGCCTGTCATTTGATATAAATAAATAAATATACTTGGGATGAAGAGTGACACAAGTGAGCAAAGTCTTTATCTCATAATAACAGTTTCGGTCAACTCCTTTTTTTGATTGAATGGAATTGTCTTTTTTTACATCCACTATAACCTTATGTAACTGGTCAAATCCTCATTTATTTTCAAGTGTCGAATTGGCAGAAATTCCTGCAATACATGTAGAAGTATATTTTGTCAATCTCTATGACAAAAGTTGACATTATGGTCTGTGTTTGCTTGTCTTAACTCACCCATTCACCACAATCTAGTGGCAAACATTCGAACTCAGTCAGATATTTTATTTTACTCCATAAATGTCAAGCCTATTTAATCTTTACTCCACCCCTCCCCCTCCCTCAAGATTTCGTCATAAATAAGTCAATCAATGGAAGAATATTTTTTTCAGTTTACCATTCGAATTCCATCTAAATTATTGGCTTTGAGTACTTAGTTTGTATAATTTCAAAAGAGCCTATTGTTTTGTTTAATGTTCCCATTTTTTTAAAATTTTATCATATCTCAGTTCCGGGAGCAACAACGGTGTATGCTTTCAATGATTTCTTGGCTTATTTCCCAGCTCTAAGGTTTTAGGGTGTAATGAAAAAAAACAAGTTTTATAAGTTCATTTCAATATTTTCGAAAATTTTATATTCTTTTTTTACTAATGCGCACTTTTACGGACCTCTTCTTCACCTATATATCTTTTTTCGGGGCAAATTTAATTCCTGTGTGATTTAATTTTTATCTCACTTCATTCCCCACCCAATATTTTCCAATTATTCTGGGATCATTCTGAGCCCTCCTTTTGGTTACTTAATGATAAGATTGCATTTTGCAATTATTTTAGTAAATATTATGCAAATAAGTACTGTTCTAAACCTTGGGGAATCCTTGTTAAAGCACCCTTTGTTGCAGAAAAGTAAAATCCTTTAGTATTGAAAATGCTCCCAAAACAAAGAGCTAGGATACGCCACAAGTAGCTAGAACACAGAAAGTAAAGAATGAATGGAGGTTATTGCAAAGGTCTGGTCTATATCAAATGGCAGGTGTTCTGATGATTATCATTAGCCCTCTAGTCGACTTCAGACTTCACAGTGGGAAGGAACATCAAAGTGATAAAAGTCGAGAGGGCAAGGGGGAGGGGAAACAGAAGAGTGTTTCAAAGATTTAAAAGAGACAGACACAATGGTAGAAAAAAGATGAGATGAGTACTGTGGAAGTAGTAGAATATGATATACAGTGCGATGATGATAGTTTGAAGTCAGAAGTCAACTGCCGGTTTATAGACTTTCTTGTCGTATGAGTATACGCTACCTAGGGTATACCACGTGGAGGTAAGTCTATCGCACACTCCGTGAAGGGCTAGTAAATGCGCATGTAACTACCAGCATGCTTAGCCATCAAATACAACTCGCGCTATGTCACGTTGCATAAAATTGCTCAGCCATTGGTTGGGAGGTCTTTGCGTCTGCGTTCGCACTTGCTCTCTACGGGAGAGCTTCCTTTGATTCGCCTTTGATTGTGATTTTCCAACCCTATAACATCAATCTAACACGGAGCTAATGATGAATACCATAAAGCCTACCATTTGAAATAACATCAGCCTGACACTTTTTAAATGAAGCTACCTCGAACTTCAGACCACCTCATGATTAGGCCTCACTGCGAAGTCGAGTTGACTAAATTTCAGAGATTAGTGAGCATCAATTGAGAAATTCTGGAGAAACCATAGGGCATTTGCTTATATTTAAATCCTTCGAGAATACTAGACTCTATTGCCACTTTCCACATACTGAAGGAGTTTTCGAGACTTACCTAAGGCAAGACTGCATTTTCAAACACACACTGTTTTGAAGTGGGTGACTGCAGGTGTTCCACCACTTTTAGTGGAATGAAAGCTTCTCTTTTAACAATTCTTAATAATACTTTTTTCATTATTGTTGCGTTTAGGCAAAGTTGCTCGTTTCCACTTCTTCTCGTGCATACTTTATGAGTCGCCCTCTTGAGTGCTAGTAGTCTTTCTTTATGAATTGTTGCGCTTTCGCTACTGACATCCGCGATTTTGCACACTACTTAGTTTCTTTCCTTTCAAACTATATTCTTTATGCTAACTGTTATTTGAAAATAAAGAACTTTAAATTCAATAAAAACTTGCGGAAATGCGACATTTATTTGTGCCACTATCTGAGAATGATCCCAAGCGAGTGGAAGGGTAATAATGTTGAAGATGATATGAAAATAAGTTTGGTTGTTTTAAAAATTGGATACCTTCGATATCAATCAATTTTATTAAAATTAGTTCAAGCTTATAGATGGAAAATTTGTTTGGAACTTATCAAACTTCTTGGAATTTCATTCCCGCATCTCCAGTTTTGATTTACAGGTGACAGCTTTTCATGAGCATTAATTATGTTCTAATTTTAAAGCACGGCTTTAGAAAAGCACAAATTGAAACGTGTATATGAGGCATTTTCTTCCGAGTCATTTTGCAAATGCTTTAGAGAAGAATGCATTTCAAGGAGAGTTAATGAGACGTATGACTTTTTGGGCATGGTTATTGTGACCTATTGTTTATAATAGGCATTACGTTTAACGTTTCACCCTCTTGATGTGAAATAGTTAAATGATTGAAAATCAACCCACTATTGTACTTATGAATTTTTTTCTTTTGTATTTAAAAAATGACTTCGTTGTTCGCTCTCTTGACTGACACTTTTGATATTTTCGAATCATTTGTATTTGTTTTACACATTGAGATCAATTTTAACGAATCGACGCATACATTTCTCTAGAATACGTGGCCTATGTCTCCAATTTATGAACTAGTCATGGTTCAGTGGAGATAGCCTTTATCCCAGTTCTAATTCTCTATCCAATTTACTCTATCTAACAGATTGCAGCAGGTTTTAATGTGCACCTTCAATATAAGTGAATTGAATATATATATTTAGATAAATGACGTATTTTCCATCTCTAATTTTCCTTTTACATATATATGATTATTTTTTGCAATGATATCAGTGTAGACGAATATCTCCATTCTCGACACGTACTATTTCCTCCCCAAATTTTCTCTCAACGAATTCGTTTCAGCTATCAGTTGAATGACCAGTCTTTCAAAGTCTATTGCCTACTAATGTCACAATATATGGTTGAAAAGAAAGACAGAAAAAAATAAGGAGCATTTTAATTTACAATTATTTTGGGAAGAGGGTGTGTGTGTGTGTGTGTCAGTTTTCCATTCTCGTCGTTATGTTATCGACATTATGAATGATCTATAATTTAGAGTCGCCTTTAGACAGCTATTGAATAAACTTGTACTGGAGGGTAATTTTATCTAAATTTTATTTCAATTCACGCAATTTAGCCAATATTCATGATTAATTTTAATAGTAGAAGAATTTTCATAAGTGAAATGTGCTTGTGTAATCGATTTGTAATGGTTATGCGGTTTGTTCTATACCAAAGAGACACCCGAAAGTTAATAATTGTTTGAAAATATTCCTGATATTGAACTCTGATGACGAAAGTCGAAATTAAATTTTATATGTACATTTTGACTCCGCATTCATCTCTCTCTCTCAATTTGTCTCAATTCCTCAAATGAAAAAATGTCTTCCTTTATTTGAGTCCAGTACCTAGAGAAATAATGTTACTTTTTACTCAAACCTTCTTAATTTGCATCCTCATTGATCCTTGTCTCTTAACGGCTTAAAAGCAAACAAAGGTTGTAAGGTTATTTGAACGCTTTTCTTGAATTACTAAGATATGGGTGCTATCAGCCCATCTTTGCAGAGGCATTGAGATAATTTCAATCAATTCAAATGTTTGACTGTTGGTGTTTATCTACATAAATAATATTCCTTGGATTGATATCAGTTTTACTTAAAGAAATTAAAACTATCAAGGTGCTTTATTGAGGTAATCACAGTGTACCCTACATTTTAGACTGACACCCCAAAAGGTAGCAGTAACTCGGGATTCGCCATGTGCTCTGAGAGCCAGTTATCCTGATGGCTCTGATAGTACCACATCGTCCTCACTCACCTCCACCACTGTTCTATCACCTCCAAATCGAAAGCGTGTTGATTTCGCCTCGCACTCACCGTTGCTACCTTCGCTCAATTCTAACAGCCTTCCAGTTAACAAGACCCGAGAAACCTTCCACCAGCCCAGTTATCAGCTGCCTTCCAACGGAAATGGGAGCGTGAACGGGGCCAGAAATAGGAGCGGTAAAAGTGGCAATGATGCCAATGTACTGCAGGACAATGGTTTTTATCTACGAACTCATCAAAATTATCGCAATGGAGAATACCCTTTCTTAAAGTACGTGTATATGTGTCGGGATGGGCTACAGTCTCTTCAATTAGGAATTACCACTTCGTGGTTCCAAGGAAGTTAGGGAATTTGGCTTACCGATCACTAAATGCCTATACTGCGATTTTTCCGGAAGAGAACGAATACAGTGCACTTTATTTGTAGAACAATATTTCTGAATATTATATTTTTCTGTGTGCCAAAAAGAAAAGATGCTAAAGTCTGTTTCAACTGAACAAAAATTAGTATATTGACCATGACAACGTTAAGTTCCTTTGGTCAAGAGATAGGACTAAAGGCATGGAAATCAACAGAGTAGATCAATGATTTATAAACTGGGGGTGATTATGGACAAGAATGTTAAAATGGAACCTCGATTCGCTTTGTACCATCGGAAAGTTCTTGGGCTTATTTTTTTATGATTTTAAGTGTGACCGTGATAATTAGAGTTTGGACGCAAATTGTTTTAAGTGAAGGGTTGGGAAAAACTTGCTTTCATTTATTTAAATTCTCCAACAACCAAGATCAAACCGTGGTTATTAAGACATGCGTTGCATAAATCACGATCATCTATTTATAGTATGATCGTTTTTCATGAGTTTGTAGCTGATAATATGAAATTCCTTCATTCTGAAACATCTATTGCATTGGGCCCTTTCCTGTTAGATCGAAAGTGATAGGAAATAAAGCAACTGTTAGAGAATATTTTGCAACCTGCTTCTGCAATTGTTCTGTCAATACAATTGAAAAAAAGCATTTTAGCCTCCGTGCTATTGTTCTACATTTAGTAGGTTCTTAACCTCCAAATGCAATCATTATTTTAATAGTGTGCACTCTAAACAGAAAAGAAGTTATTGTAAAATAGCTTTTTCCGCACTGTGCTTGCGTATTTTCTGACCTTTTTTATCCAACAGGGATTTCTTTAATTTCATTTATTGCAGTTTATTTATTATTTATTTTGTTTCGTCTACTACTACACTTCAAGCCCCTTGTTTTTTTTTTTTGAAGTAAAAGAGCGTGGGGGTTGTGGTGGGATTGCAACTTCACCACGCATGTATGACAGGAGTGATGAATAGACAATAGTTGAACAAAGTTTGACTCCCCTTTCCGTTGAGGTGTACTTTATTTGTGTCTCGCATAAAATGTGCTGTTCTCGGTAAAAGTGACGTTACAATTTCGTGCGCTACACAACGCATAACAAAGTGTTTCAAATTATTCCCATTTAAGTGATAATTTTAAATTATAATTGCTTGGCAAGTTACTAATCATTCTGTTATTTTTTCTGCATTATTCTTTATTTCCTGAGGAGATCTCTTAGTTAATCCTATTGGATTAGATGGCGAAAACGCATAAAATGAGCAGTAAAGTGTAATGATTGGCCATTAGCATTTCCTAGCCATTTTTTCTACATTCTATACAAAACTGCTAGTTGAATCATTTATTACTAAGCTTTCAAATAAGCATTTTATTATTTTATTTCTTTTACGGAAGCTTTCACTAAATACCTTTCAAAACTAATCTACATATTTTTTTATTCGAACATCACCTTTTTCCTAAAATTTTAGAAATAAATTTCTTAGTTCAAGAGAATCAAGTGTGCCAATTTTACATGCCATTATCACACTATGCTCTATAGTTAAATTCTCAGTAGTAATACTTTATTGGATATTTGAGTCATTTCTGCAAATTACGCTTAGATAAAAGCATCATTTGTGCTCCTTTTCAGTAAATTGGATCGACTACTATTAAGCTGCTTATTGATTTCTATTTTTATCATCCCTATGGCATTGGAAAATGGAGGTCAATCCCATAAATATGGAATTCATTACGATTTATAGCCTTAACAGTTGCAAAATGATTTTTATTTTTCCTCTCATTGATATACGAGAGTGAGTCAAAACGTCTTCAGACAAATTCCATACTTTAGTTATTTAACAAGTGATTACATTGATGTGACCAGCTTAGGTCCCATTGTTGTCTATACACTGTTGTAATCTGTATTTCCACCTGTCAATTCCTCCTAGTGGAATTTTCAGAGCTGTCTCTGATACCATGAAATGACATGCTATTTTGCTTCATCTGGAGACGTTAATCGGATAATTTTATGGTAATCTTTCAGTTTTGGAAACTGAAAAAGGAAAATTTTGAGGGGTCTAGTTCGTGTTTCCCATGGCAATTCGTGCAACGTGGCTCTGACGGCTCTTGGAAAATGTGCAGAGACAATGTCATGCTGAAACAGAATATGCCGTTTTATGGTTATGAGATGTCTTCAACTTCTTCCTAACGCCTTCAATCTGGCTTGAGGTGATCATTTTCCGTCCTTCTAGGAAGTCTACCAATACGTATCACTCCTTCTACATCTCAAAAATTGTTTCTAATTTCATTCAGCTTTGAAATTGACAAGCCCAGATGCTCTCTTTAGATGCCACTCTTTTGATTGAATTTTATTTTCTGGAGCAAATTGGTAGATCAAGGTTTCATCTCCAGTAACCTAGGGCTAAAAAATAATTACCCTCATTTGCTTCCACCTTTGCCTAAGTCGATAAAGAAATTCCAACTCATTGGATTAGTTGATGTTTCTGCAACGCTTTTGGAATTCACCGTGATCACCGAGAGCTTATTAAAGATAAAGATTTTCAGAGAGAATTGAAAATGCTGATCCACTTCATTAGAAATTTCTACAATTCGAACTCGTTAAACTTGTTCCTGCACTAGGTTCTACACAAGAAAGATGTTTGCTCAATTTCTTGATATTTTACGTCGCCCTCTTCTCTCCTCGTGGGTCGTCATCATGTTACACTCATCCCTCTTGAAGGTGTCTAATAAAGTCATTAATGACTGATCTACATGACACCGAGTCCCCTATAAATCCAATTGTAAAGTCTCTGTTATCTGAGCAGATTCTTAATTTAGTCCAGTTAAGCATGTTGTACTACATCCGATCTAAAAATTTATCCATTTTAAGGGTTGAAAATCGCTGTCTATTTTGAGCTGCAACCTGTCTTAATGCTGGCCTACCAGAGCATGACTTGTAAATCTTGATTCTATTTAAAACTATGGCATTTGTCGGAGAACTTTTTGACCCACCCCAATAGTGTCCTTATGGAGGTAAGTTCATATTAATAAATTTAAGATATACTTTTTTCCAAATTTAAAGTATTGCTAAATTGTACTCTTTTAATAGTAAGCAAATAATATAGAGGTTCGAAAAGAAAAAAAAACTTATTCCAAGTTCTCTTAAATGGCGGTCTGGGGAGAGGTTGTGCATATCTTTTCGGTACATACTTTTTAAGAATATGGCCAGTCAGACAATACTATTGGACCCCTGTCATCCAAACATAAGTCATGAGGGGGGGGGATAGTTTAAAATAGTGATGAAGGAACTGTCTATCATGCCATGGTGAATTTAATACTTCGTCATAACTAACTTTCCTCTTCCTCTCGCCAGATACAGCAGCAATAATGTCACGAATGGGAGAACCAATGGAAATCGTGCATTGTCGCCATCGCCTTTTCTTAGTTCAAACCAAATCACTCGCCACCACATAAGAAGTTCAAGTCTCAAGAGCCATGCTCCTCCGATTGCCAACAGCCCTGTGGTTTACGCTGACATTCAAACAGATCCATCACCCCAGTTTGACTATCGACCACGAGCCAATGTGAGTGCCTTCTATTTATACGTACTTATTTTTATTTCATTTCACCTACTCATCTCCTTTGTGGCGACTTTCATCTGGGTTTATTATTTTATTTGAAAATGGGCACTTCCAACTGCTTTTCATTCTTTCACCCAGACTATCTAAAACCCTCACCCTTCGAATATAAGTAAATATTACTTTTAGTACATTGGAGACTACGTGCGAAAATCCAAACATAATACGCCTTTCTTACGGCATAGTTCTTTTGGTCCTCCACAACGGTAGGCTGGATATTCCTCCACGGAATTAAGAATCTTTCTAAGTCCAACAGAACGCCATGCTCTTTCCAGAATGTGTAATCCAAAAGTTATGTATAATAGGCGCCTTGAATGTAAGGAGTGGAATGCACAACTCTACAAGTGCTTAATAAAGAAATCTTAGGAGCGCTAGAACTTCCTGAATCGTTGATGCGTGTTACTCATCGCACATCGACTGAACTCCAGTTTGCACGCGAAAAACTCCCTCCTAATTAGCTGTCAATATTCTGCAGTGCAGCGTTGTCTGTGCTTAATTGTCAAGCATTTAGTAGCAAATACACTCCGGACAACGAATCCCGTCGTCTCCCTACCAAGTTACATTGGAGCATGGCAGTTGAGACTAGTTGTTCTTAACCGCGACGACTTGAACTTCTAGGAGGATTGCTGAAGTTTTGTGCAGTATCGCTACAAACGGTGGGAAATAGGGGAAAAAGGATAGAGGGGACCTTGAAGGAAAGAGGATTTTGCATTAGTACTGAGCAAGGGCAACCCGAATTGGGAGAAGTAGGCTCAAAAACTGGTACGATGTGGGTCTTTTGAGACTGTATGTTCATTGCTCATCAATGGGTATCTAGTTATCATCAGTTATTTCAAATCGGAGATCACAAATTGCCAAGCAAACGAAGTGTGAAAATATAAACATGTGCTATTTGTCCAACCTCAGAAATTTGGTCTCTGTTATTTCATTGCATCTTTTTCATTTTACCCAACTCTAGTCGGTGGAACCTCAACTCTTCAGTAACGTAAGTTCCTGTCAAAAAAAATTGGAATCTATTTGCTAATGAATGCTTCTTTATTCAAGCATTGCTCGTTAGAATTGCATGAAGACATAATTTTATTGCTAAATCAATACCTTAACATGATTATTTTCATCTAGTATCAGTTTTTATTATTTGCCATGGTAATGTAGAGCAACTTTTTGAAGGTATACTTTAACAATGGCAGGATTAAGTATCCCAACAGGCCTTGAAATAGTACCAATAAAAAGTGAGATCAGGCATTTTATTTCATTTGAAATCGAATATATTGCATTTTGTCAGTAACGCTCATAATGTTTCACTCTCCAATTAGGAGTTTACCCCAAGGTTACCGTATCAGCCCATATGCGCACTATTCAAAGCTTATTGATTAGCTGACTTAAAGAAATGATATACCATATCTCGCTTACAGTAATTTTTATCTACTAATAGACAGGATCAGCAAGTAAGATCCCTGCTAATATTTCACTATTATATTACTTGTTTCTTCTACCATGATTAAGCATGATAAGTTGATAACGCTAATGTGAGGGGAGGTATTCGATTTTCAACTGGGTCTCAAAATTTAAATTTTATGGTGGTGATACATCGCGTTACGATGCTATGGTTTTACCGGACATAGTGATGTGCATTATTTACGTGTTAAGGTGCGAATATTTTAAGTAGACAGTCCCCTAGATCCCATTAATATTATTACTGAAGTTTTAAGTTATTTTAAACTCCCTTGGGGTAGTTTACTGAGTCAGAGAGGGCAATTTTGCTCTTGATCGAAGAGCATTTTCAAAACACAATATGTCTATCTGACTGAAATTGTTTTCTTCCTGTATTCATTTTCTGTAGAAAAGGTGTTCGGGATTCAAACTGAGCGCTGTGAAACTAGTTTGATATGAATTGAGGATTGACAGTGAGATTACTAGGCCACTATGGCTAAGGAAAGAAATTTAATTGACCATCTAATTGCATTCACTCAGCAGATTTTTCTAAATTATTATCAGCACTCAGGCTTAAGTAAATACATGAGTAAATATTTCAGCAACTAACAAGGTGTTCGAACTCAACGAGGTCCTTCACTCTACTCACACATAGGAGTCAACTTCACACAGAATGGGCTCACGAACAATATAGTACCTGGTGCGAAGAAACTTCTGAGTAAAGAGAAGCTTTGCTGATGCGTAAATACCCGGTCCCTTTCTTTTTGATTAAAAAACTTTAGCTGAGATCGAAATCACAGATTTCAGAATAACAAATGTTTCGACTTGCGTACAGCTCAAAGGTCATTCGAGGAGTCATGCAGTTGAAATTTCTCAAAATAATCGTGCTTTCTGGATGTGTGCATTCTTCTGGTGGTGATGTGATGCCTTTGGAACTTATATAAGAGGGAATTAAATTGGAATTAGCTACCTACGAGAAATTACTGGCCAAGGTCATAGGTAAGCCCTGGATGGCGAGGGTTTTCAATGATGGGCCATCTGTATGGTGGCAGGCGGATTCGCCCCTGGCACACTTTAGGGAAAAATAAAATAATAGTTGTCTGCCAATTTTTACGATTAAGTGGGTTTTAGGTTATAACTGGCCTTCAAACTTCAATCCCTTCTCAGCTTTGGCCCAATGAACTGTGGTGTGTTCGTGGGCCAAGATGGAGAAAAGCATTTATCGCCTTGCCAGTTAATGGTCTGAATTAAATCAGTTTTCCTGATCCCTTCACGTGATAGCATTCAATGAGCGTACTGCAGGTTCCAGGGCCGATACGGAATGAGGCGATAACGGACTCTAATAATATACAGTGCTTTAGTATCCTCGTCTATCTACTAACTTTTATTGTTGCACTAATAGATTCAATTTTGCATCCTGAGTACATGGAATTATCGTGCTCTCTTTTGCTAACTATATGCAAATATATATTACTGTTCAGCAGAATGCCATAAATGTCGTCTTAACTGTCGTTTATTTCTTTGCGTATTTCAGTACCGTCAGTCTTTCAACGACGAGAGAGAACATTGAAATTAAATGCTCCAACTGAAGGGTACAACGAGAGAACCTACCATTATCTGCGGAGAATTTGTGTAAAATTGTGAGATATGGTTGAGAATTATTGTGCGTATGTGTGCAATATTTGCCTTTCAAAGAAATAATAATAAAAAACTTTCTCTCCAAGTCCCTTCTAACTTCATACCCCCCCCCCCCCTCCCTCCTTCCCAAAAACTGGATGCAAATCTCTAATATCACAACCCTTCTAAGCACTCAAATTCCTCCCCCCCCCCCCCCCCACCCCCCGCCTCCTCGTCTCCCTCTATTTTAAGCGAGCATATTTTGATTAAGTACTAATGGTGAATTTATTTATACATATACGTAAATGAATAAGCCCTCTCTTGTGACTTCTATTTGATATTTACCCATTGGACTCGTTGTGCTATTTCCTTACTAATATTGTAGTCTCACACCCAGTTCTTTCTCATTGCTCTTCTCATTCACGTTGATTCTGTTTCCCCGCAACTCAGAATTTTTTTCCACTGTTGCATGCATCGCTTTCAATTGAAGGCTATTTTGGTCATAATTTTGCGTTGTGTTTCCAGTTGATCCTATGATGGATGGATGGATGGCTATGGTGGTTTTAGCGGGGGGTGAAATCAAACTTGCACTTCATTTTTGTTTTATTGGCCAAGTTTAAGTGTTCCATTTGAGTAGCTCTCTCCAACCTATGGTCACTTAACTGATTATACCTGACTTAATTGGCGAAGAAAGTTATTGTTGTGTCATTGTTCCTGGCCAAATGTGTTCGCCATTGGGTTCAAAATGTGTGTATACAAATGTGGGGACTAATTACTTATTCTGACATTGGAAGGGTTGACATAATAAATGCTCTTACAAGAAACAGCTAGTGAACAAGTGATTGAACACGTCTAGACAGCTTTTGACAGATTTTATTACGAGCTATTAAAAATGCCCTCAGGCATTGAATCATCATTAAAAATAAGCGAGAACTTACACAAACTAATACCACTAGGAGTCATAAGCATGTCAATGTTCAGTGGCACACTCTTGACATTAGTCGTGATTGGATGATGCCCAGTACTAAATAGCTATGAAAACAATGATTGGCACATGTGTACTGGTAGCTCAGTGATGACCGTGCATGACTGTTCAGTTTAGAGGAGACGATGGTGATGCTCATCCGAGCACAACCAGCAATGTGAGTGGTCAATCGCCCTGGTCATTACTAATCAACGCGTGAAGTTTTGGAATCTAGGTTTTGCATTAAAGCGCCTACGAATTACCTTCCCATAGCCGAATTATGTGAAATTAACGCTTCTAGCGGATTTGGGGTGCACGGAGGATACTACCAATTATAAATTAGATTGGATGTTTGCAAGGTGGAGCCAAAAGTCAAGTCTTCCGATGGATGATTTGGTTAAAATATTTGACAATTTGTATTTGGTAGAATAAGAGTTGGATGTCATTAAAACCTGTCTGATCCTATGTATTCACCTCTAAGTCAAAAATGATACTTTAGATTGATAGCAATTAGTAATTACTGTAAAAGTCCACTAATGCAAGGGAATATGTCTTTCCTCACTTAGGTCTCCGAAACGGATTTTAAAATACCTGCTTAGTGGTTGTTTGCTTCACATCTCCAAACCTGTAGTTAATTATTCTCACCCGGGATGTTTGGTGCTATACTACTAGATTATTAATCAGGCGCTTTGCTTCCGAAAATCCCACACCTTTGAATAGATAGATGAGACCAGTGGAGGCACTTGAGTATGGAATGCCACAGTAAACTAATTTCAAATTAAATAAAGATTTGCTTCTGGCATCATCATGAGTATCCATTGAAAGCAGTAGATGCTGTTGTGTCCTTCGTTTTTTTGACATTTTAGACGACCTATTAAATCTTCCCTTCTACAAAGTAGACTACGGACCTTCTCCATTTTGGCAATATTATTTATGTGACTATGTACTGTGGTTGTAATACACAATAAAACAACTCCAATAAACAGCCCATAAATTGGAGGGGGTAAGAGTCGTGTGATTAAATACTGCAACTGGGTAATAATTTAAATAAGGAGAGAATCAAAGCAGATATCCATTTGGCCAATTTGGAGAGAATCGAAGACGGAGAGAATTTTGTTGAAGTACTACTGACTGAACGAGGTGAAGAAGCTCAAACATGAGCTGGATGCTGACGCAACATAGGAATAAGCATATTGGGGGGAATTACGCGAGAGCAGATCAAATGGACAGCCGTGAAGAGGGGATAGCGTTCACAGAGATGCAGTGCAGAGAGCTGAGTGTAGATCTGAAAGTCAAGTAACGTAGTCAAAGTAGTCGACAATTCAAAACCAACAAAAACTGATTAAAAAAATTCGGAAAGATGCTATGATGTCTTATGCTTGGAATCTAATGAAGCAAAACGTCTAAATCTCATTTTAATCTCCTCGATTTACTTCCAATTTCTAGTGAATTCGCTTCCACCCCATTCGCCACAAGATCTAACGCATTAGCGGCAGTAACAGCAGAGAAGTAAACTAGTGCACATCCAATAGAGCTAATTTATTAAATTAAAAAAATATGTTAGTTGTAATAATAAATCTCCATCAAACAAATCAAAGTGATCCACCGATATTTAAGTTGCAGGTAACTCCAACATTTTTTTACCCAAAGGAACC